ATGTTGCATGCAATGTTGCATGCAATGTTTTACCGTGTCTCAGCACCTTTAGACTTTCCATACGTAAGCCAAACACAAAGCATGAAATCGAGGCTCCAGGGTAGTTTCAACGGATTATTCAAATCTGAACCTTTGTGTTTGGCTAGTATATGATTCATGGAAAGTGGGGAATTATCTAGATGATTTTTAAAACAATATTAGAACTTTGAACAAAAAATCCTGTCATGAAGGGAAAAAAAGGAAAAACTTTATAAAACTGGTTTTCGTTTTGGATTTCCAGTATTTTTGAAAAAATCTCTTGTGAGAAAGGGCTTCCTCATAATCCCTTCCCAGATCCACGCCTGACTGTCGTCGGACGTTTTCTTAACTGTACGTGCGCTCTAAATTTTCTTAAATGCTAATAAATTCGATTTTTACCCCAAGGTTATTCGCAAAGGCTGGCTTGCTGCTTCACAAGCTGGCTTTATGAAAGGCGTTGGTATGGGCTCCAAGGAATACTGGTTCGTCTTGTCAGGTAAGAACCTCCCTTTTTTCTTTTCTAAGAAAATGCTACTTCAGCGACATATTGATAAAGCAGTTAAAACCTGTGTCTCGTACGCTGTCGTCCTTAAGGTCGTCACGCAGCGCTGTGCTTCCCACTTTGCATGCGTGACGACGCTTAAAAAGTATCAGTCTGTATAGGAGGATAGAACAGTTCAAACCCGTGTATCGTACGCTGTCGTCCTTAGGGTCGTCACGTAACGCTGTGCTTCCCACTTTGCATGCGTGACGACGCTTAAGAAGTATCAGTCTGCATAGGAGGATAGAACAGTTCAACCCGTTCAAACACATGCCGAAGGATTTAGCAAAAAACGTTGGCTGAAAGTTGACGAACCGTGTCAAACTACCCAAACATTTTTTATGTTGGGCAAATATTTTTTCCCCAAAATCAAACTTAACCCAACATTCATTCAACATAAGATACCACCTCCCACTGAACATTGTTGACAGACCATGAAAAATGGTCCCAACATTTCAGCCAACAAATGTTGGGCCGTTTGTCAGGACACCAAGCAACTTAGTACTAACTTAATGTTTTTTTTTTAGCTGAGGCACTCACCTGGTATCGAGACGAAGAGGTAATTTGCCATATCAATATGTGACTGTGTTATTCTTGCATGAGATTAATAAGTTGTTTATTCCCCGTTCTTGCTACTTTTTCATTGTTCTCGTTTTAATTGAAAACAAAACAAACAAAAAAAAAACGGTTTTATGTTGCGCAAGCATGCATTTTTTCGACAGACATTTTTGAATTTGAAAGTGGTATGAAAAGTTTTAAAAAGTTGTTGCTTTTGTAGATGTCGCTATTGTTGTGAGATTTCAGTACTGGATGTTGTTGTTTCATCGTTTTTACATGCTTGCAGCGATTCGTTGTTTGTGCGTGTAATAAAAGTTGTCCATAAGGGGGCTTTCATTTATTAGCGCATGGGAGAGGGGGGGGGGGGGCAAAATCAATTGGAAAGCTTACGAACATAACTCGACCCCCCTCAATATTAGAGGCAAAAATTGCATACCCCCTTTCATCACCCTACAATAGTTCTCAACCTCCTTTAAGATGTCGTATCCCCCCCCTCACCACTTTCTTAAAATAACAAAACATCCCTACTTTTTTGTTCCCCCCCCCCCAGAGGCTTCATGCAGTAGACTTTACTTAACGGGAGGCGACTTTTTTCATTTTCAGGAAAAAGAGCAGAAGTATCAGATACGTCTTGACGGTGTTCGTCTTCGTGACCTTGAACCTGGTTTTATGTCCAAAAAAGTGTCATTTGCACTATTTAACCCTGAAACCAAGTACGTACATTACATTATAATGTAGATATCGAGTTTCTTTTAACTAGTTATATTAGAAAATATTGCAGTTTCGGGTTTCTGTTGCTGAGGGTTGTCGTCGAATTTCAAAATATTTGTGTGGCCAAAGTTGTGATTTTTTCTTTTTACCGTTGGTATTTGTGAATATTCTAACGCTGACTAAATAAGCATATAACGAAGAAATTATTATAATTTTTTTGTTTGTTTTTATCCAGAAACTTGTTTAAAGATCATAAACAACTGGAGCTTTCAGCAGAGAATCAAGAGACCATAGACAGCTGGAAGGCGTCCTTCCTACGTGCAGGAGTGTATCCTGAGAGAAACTCATCTGAGGACAAGAGTTTGGTGAGAATACTACTTTTTTTTCTGTTCTGTTCTGTTCTGTTCTCTTTTGTTTTGTTCTCTTCTCTTCTCTTCT